AGCTTCTGCCAACCAAAAGGCAGCAGATGAGTTCCCAGGTGCTAGTGAGGAAATCATTGAGGAGGAAAGATATCTGCCTAAAGAGGGGTTTTTGTTTTGTTTTGTTTTTGAGACAGAGTCTCACTCTGTTGCCCAGGCTGAAGTGCAGTGGCGCAATCTCAGCTCACTGCAACCTCCACCTCCTGAGTTCAAGCGATTCTACTGCCTCAGCCTTCTGAGTAGCTGGGATTACAGGTACCCGCCACCATACCCAGCTAATTTTTATATTTTTAGTAGAGATGGGATTTCACCATGTTGGCCAGGCTGATCTCAAACTCCTGACCTCAAGCGATACGCCCGCCTTGGCCTCCCAAAGTGCTGGGATTACAGGCATGAACCACACCTTGCTCCGTCATGAAGAGGTTTGTAATGCAGACTAAAGTGCCCTATTCTGGAAAAAAAAATGCCTCAAAGGACATTTATTAGTAAGGAAGAGAGGTGAGCACTTAAGGCAGGTAGGGATAGGCTGACCCTACCGTTGTGTGCAAATGCTGTCAGATTTATGATCAGGCTGCCCTTACATAGAAAACTGCTAACCTCCAAGCCTTCAAAGATAAGGCTGCCAGTCTTTTGGTTGTACAACAAGAAGGCCTGAACAACGAGAACCCTTCTTCTGGGTTGGTTCCACCGACGCTTTGTCCTTGAAGTTAGGAAGTACCTTGCCAGTAAGTTACTTTGATATTAGACAATGTCCCTGGCCACCAAGAACCTCATGAATTCAACACTGACGGTGTCAAAGTGATCTCATGGCCCCCAAACACAAGGCCTCTACTTCAGCCTCTAGATCAGGGGGTGATGAGGAGCTTTAAGGCTCATTACATACTGTGGAAAGGACTGTCAACACCATGGAAGAGAAGACTGATATAGAGAACATTAGGAAAGTCTGGAAGGATGACGCCACTGAAGATGCCGTCCTTGTTAGAGATAAGCTACGAATGCCATTGAGTGAAAATAATAAATTCCTGCAGGAGAAAACTGTGTCTATATGTTGTACATGACCGGATTTACAACAGAGCCAATCAAGGAAATCATTAAAGAGATTGTGGATATGGAAAAAAAAAAAAAAAAAAAAAAAAGGTAAGGGGTGAAGGGTTTCAAGCTATGGATCTTGGGGAAATTCAAGAGCTAATAGATTCTACACCAGAGGAATTAACAGAAGATTTTTTTTTCTTTTTTTTCTGAGATGGAGTCTCACTCTGTCACCCAGGCTGGAGTGCAGTGGCGTAATCTCGGCTCACTGCAATCTCCACCTCCCAGGTTCAAGCGATTCTCCTGCCTCCGCCTCTTGAGTAGTTGGGATTACAGGCGCCTGCCACCATGCCTGGCTCATTTTTGTATTTTTAGTAGAGACAGGGTTTTGCCATGTTGGCCAGGCTGGTCTCGAACTCCTGACATCGGGTGATCCACCCACCTCCCAAAGTGCTGGGATTACAGACGTGAGCCACCGTGCCCGGCCAGAAGATGTTAATTGAAGATGTTTTTGACTTCTTTCACGACATGGACCCTTCTATGATACAGGAACTGACACTAAAGCAAACCGTGGAAGGTTTGGTGCCATATAGAAACATTTTTAGAGAAATGAAAAAGCAAAAAGTCAGACAGAAACTATGACGTATTTCTGTAAAGTACCTGCCTCTCCTGCCTACCCCTCCACCTCCATCACCTCATCTACTTTTGCCACCTCTGAGACAGCAAGACCAGCCCTCCTCTTCCTCCTCCTCTTTAGCCTACTCATTGTGAAGACGACGAGGATGAAGACTTTTATGATGACCACCTCCACTTACTGAATAGTAAATGTACTTTCTCTTCCTTACAATTTGCTCAACAGTTTCTTTTCTTTAGTTTATTGTAAGAATACAGCATATAATATAATAACATATGAAGTATGTGTTAATTGACCATTTATGCCATCAGTGAGGCTTCTGGTCAACAGTAGGTTATTAGTAGTTAAGTTTTGGGGGAATCAAAATTTATACTCAAAAATTTTTTTTTTTTTTAGATGGAGTCTTGCTGCGTTGCCCAGGCTGGAGTGCAATGGCGTGATCTTGGCTCACTGCAACCTCTGCCTCCCAGGTTCAAGAGATTCTTCGGCCTCAGCCTCCTGAGTAGCTGGGATTACAGGCGTGCGCCACCACGCCCAGCTAATTTTTGTATTTTTAGTAGAGACAGGGTTTCACCATGTTGACCAGGCTGGTCTTGAACTCCTGACCTTGTGATCCACCCACCTCGGCCTCCCAAAGCGCTGGGATTACAGGTGTGGGCCACTACACCTGGCTATCCTCAGATTTGTAACAGCAAAGAGGGTCGGCACCCCAACTGTCACGTTGTTCATGGGTTAACTGTATAATGTGTGGATCAACCGTGTAATGTTCGCACATCACTTCATTCTCATGGATTCAGCATAGTACTTGGCATGGGGCAAATTCAAATTTTTACTTTTTGGAACTTTGTGGAAGTTTTTTTCCCCAAGTATTTTCTATTTTTATTCATTTATTTATTTTTTGAGACAGGGTCTCACTCCATTTCCTAGGCTAGAGTGCTGTGGTTTCAATATCCAGGGCTCCAGTGATCCTCCTACCTCAGCCTCTCAAGTAGCTGAGACTACAGGCACACGCCCCCCACCATGCCCAGCTAATTAAAAAATTTTTTTGTTGCAATGGGTCTCACTATGTTGTCTAGGCTGGTCTTGAACTCCTGGGCTCAAGCAGTTCTCCTGCCTAGGCTTCCTACAGTGTTGGGATTATAGGTGTGAGCCACCATATCCAGTCTTTCCCAAACATCGTCTTTTGTTTGAGACAGAGTTTTGCTCTGTGACCCAGGCTGAAGTGCAATGGTGTGATCTTGGCTCATTGCAACCTCCGCCTCCCAGGTTCAAGTGATCCTCCCACCTCAGGCTCCCGAGTAGCTGGGACTACAGATGTGTGCTGCCATTACTGGCTAATTTTTTTGTTTGTTTGTCTGTTTTTGAGACAAAGTCTTCGTCGCCCAGGCTGGAGTGCTGTGGCGCGATCTTGGATCACCGCAACCTCTGCCTCCCGGGTTCAAGCAATTCTCCTGCCTCAGACTCCCAGATAGCTGGGATTACAGGCACCCGCTGCCATGCTTGGCTAATTTTTGCATTTTTATTTTACTTATTTATTTTTTGAGACAGAGTTTTGCTCTTGTTGCCCTGGCTGGATAGCAATGGCACGATCTTGGCTTAAGGCAACCTCCGCCTCCCAGGTTCAAGCAATTCTCCTGCCTCATCCTCCCAAGTAGCTGGGATTACAGGTGTCCACCACCACGCCTGGCTAATTTTTTTTGTATTTTTAGTAGAGATGGGGTTTTGCCATATTGGCCAGGCTGGTCTCGAACTCATGACCTCAGGTGATCCGCTCGCCTCAGCCTCCCAAAGTGCTGAGATTACAGGCATGAGCCACCACACCCAGCAATTTTTGTATTTTTAGTAGAGACGGGGTTTCACCATGTTGGCCAGCCTGGTCTCGAAGTGACCTCAGGTGATCCACCTGCCTCGGTCCCCCAGAGTGCTGGGATTACAGGCGTCAGGCACCGCGCCCAGCCTCCTGAATATTTCCAGTCAACAGTTGGTTGAATCCACAGATGCAGAAGTCACCCACACAGACGGCCAACTGTGTATGTTTTTCTTATTCTTTTTTTTTTTTTCCATCTGGCTTATCGAAAGCTTTGAGCTGGCCGGCAATGGATTTAATCTTTTACTCCCACTTGGAGGAGACGGGACCTATAAACTGTTAACTGTATTTGACCCACCAAAAACTCATTTTGGGAAAGTCTTGGCCTTTTCTCTTGCAGCCCACAGAAGAGAGGGAAAAAAGCCAAAGGTGTCACTTGGGCCATGCTTTTTTGTTTCCTTATTGTAGCCAGCACTCACCAAAACCAGCCAGGGGATCCAGGGAGTCAACTCTCCAGAGGCTGGACCTATTGTCTTTTTTTTGAGACAGAGTCTCGCTCTTTCACTCAGGCTGGAGTGTAGTGATGCGATCCTGGCTCACTGCAACCTCCACCTCCCGGATTCAAATGATTCTCCTGCTTCAGCCTCCCGAGTAACTGGGATTATAGGCACCTGCCACCACGCCCAGCTAATTTTTTGTATTTTTACTAGAGACGGGGTTTCACCACGTTGGCCAGACTGGTCTTGAACTCCTGACCTCAAGTGATCCACCCACCTCGGCCTCCCAAAGTGCTGGGATTACAGGCGTGAGCCACCGCGCCCAGCCTCAGCCGGTGTTTTCTTTTGTACGGTTTCCCTCCTCAACTGGGACTACTTACGATTCTCAACCAAGGCAGCAACTCTGCATTTCTACTAAAAAGATCTGAAGCAGTTTTGGCAAAATAAGAAATTTATTACATATGATTGGCAGATACATGCTGCTTATATATTATTCTTACTGTTTGAAAAAAAAGTCAAAATGAAAAATAATGTTATTTTAATTTTAAATACCACACAATTACAGGTCCTTGAGGATCGGGGATGGGCTCAGGGAATTACCTCGTTTTTCAGAGAAATCAGAGTGGGCAGATCCATCTCCAAATTCTTTTTTTATTTTTTATTTTTATTTTTATTTTTTGAGACAGTGTCTTACTCTGTCATCCAGGCTGGAGTGCAGTGGTATGATCATGGCTCACTATAGCTTCAACCCGGGCACAAATGATCCTCCCACCTCAGCCTCCCAAGTAGCTTGGATTATAGGTGTGTACTATCACACCTGGCTAACTTTTGTATTTTTTGTAGAGATGGGGGTCTTACTACATTGCCCAGGCTGGGCTTGAACTCTGAGGCTCAAGGGATCCTCCCACCTTGGCCTCCCAAAGCGCGGGGATTACAGGTGTGAGCCACTACACCCGGCCCAATTTTTTTTTTTTTTGAGACGGAGTCTCTCTCTGTTGCCCAGGATGGAGTGCAGTGGTGCGATCTCGGCTCACTGCAGCCTCCGCCTCCCAGGCTCAAGTGATTCTCCTGCATCAACCTCTTGAGTAGCTGGAATTACAGGCGCGCACCATCACACCCAGCTAATTTTTTAGATTTTTAGTAGAGACGGGGTTTGACCATGTTGGCCAGGCTAGGTCTTGAACTCCTGACCTCAGGTGATCCGCCTGCCTTGGCCTCCCAAAATGCTGGGATTACAGGCATGAGGCACTGTGCCCGGCCCAGACTTTTTTTTTTTAACGTGGATTTTCAGCTGCATGACCTGGTCCCAGCCCTGCAGCTCGGAAGCCCCAGGAGGTGAGGTTCGCACCCTTAGGGCTAGGACTTTCTGAGCCTTAAGGATGAGGCTCTAAGTTCAGAGACGAGTAGAGGGCTTCTCTGAAGGGACCAAAGAAGTCCCTATGGCAGAAACAATAGGAGACAAGAGGTCAATGGCGGGGAGGGAAGGGGATGGGACAGAGGGACCTGGGGCTGGATCGGAGGGTTTTGGGTGGGAAGAGAAGAGAGGGGAGGGCGAGAATTCTTCTCCAAGATGGGCGTTCCCCCAGGCTCACCTGTGGGTTCCCCTCAGTAGAGTAGGCCCCCCAAAAGCAGCAGCTACAGTAGGTAGATAAGATGGAAGAAGCTTCTTCTGGTAGTTTCTAGAACCTGAAGACGGGGCCCATCAGGGCCTTTGATTGGACCCAGGAATTCTCAGTATGCCAGGGAGGTACAAGTGGTCAATTGGTTAATGGTGAGTCCCAGCCAATGGTTCCGGGCCCTGGAAGGCACAGTCAGGCTGTCTTGCAAGAAGGATAGTCCTGGACTAGGACAGATGGACTCGTACGATCACACTGGAGTTGGTCACACGGGCTCCATAGTGGCCAGCCCAGAACTGTGTGTCCTGGCCCCAGTGTTCGAAAGACACAAAGCGGACGCCCATCTTGATGTTGGAGAACATGTGGGTGACCTGTAGGCAGAGGAGGAGCTCAGCCCCGTTGTGCCACAGCCTCCCCTCTAAAGCTGAGGTTGGGGCCTTCTGGCAGATGGTTACTTTCCAAGGATGGCTATAAAATCTCCCATTGGGCTACATGTTCTTCTAGAATCTTACAGAATCTTCCACTCCCTCATCAAAAAGTGGAATCTGGCTGGGTGTGGTGTGGTTTGCGCCTGTAATCTCAGCACTTTGGGAGGCCGAGACAGGTGGATCGCTTGAGGCCAGAAGTTCCAGACCAGTCTGGCCAACATGGTGAAACCACATCTCTACCAAAAATACAAAAAAAAAAAAATTAGCCAGGCTTGGTGGCATGTGCCTGTAGTCCCAGCTACTCGGGAGGCTGAGGCAGGAGAATCACTTGAACCTGGCAGGCGGAGGTTGCAGTGAGCCGAGATCACGCCACTACACTCCAGCCTGGATGACAGAGTGAGACTCTGCCTCAAAAAAAAGTAGAATCTAATTCCCTTCCCCATGAATCTAGGTGGCTTTGCTTGTCACCAAGAATGTGGTGAAAATTATGCTCAGTGACTTTGGCCAAGTGACTTTTAAGGCTAGGTCAGAAAAAGCAAGGCAGCTTCTATTGTTTCTCTAGAACCCTCCTCCCTGAGCAACCACATAAGCATTCTGACTGCCTAGGAGCCGCCATGCTGTGAGGAAGCCCAAAGGACCCCAAGCAGAGAGATCCCATGGAGAAGCTCTGAGACGAAACGAAGAAAGATGTTTGGCCAGCCACCAACTGCTACACACACACCACCCACTGCCCTGGCCTGCAGCTCCAGACATCGTCAGAATGTCACTGTCTGAACTTTGAAAGGCAGGAGCCAGAACTGCCCAGGTGAGCCCTCCTGAAATTACTAACTCATAGAAATCACGAGAAGTAGTCAAATGACTATCATTAATTTTTTTTTTTTTTTGGAGACAGAGTCTTGCCCTGTCACCCAGGCTGGAGTGCAATGGCGGGATCTCGGCTCACTGCAACCTCTGCCTCCCAGGTTCAAACGATTCTCCTGCCTCAGCTTCCCAAGTAGCTGGGACTACAGGTGCCCGCTGCTACGCCAATTTTTGTATTTTTAGTAGAGATGGGGTTTCACCATGTTGGCCAGGCTGGTCTTGAATTCCTGACCTCGTGATCTGCCCGCCTTGGCCTCCCAAAGTGCTGGGATTACAAGTGTGAGCCACTGCACCCAGCCAGACTGTCATTGATTTTAAGCCACTAAGTTTTGGGGTGATTTATTTCGCAGCAATAGGCCCCCAACATCCTTTCCCCAAACCCCCATAGGAGACTCACGTGAAGGCAGGCATTGTTGTTCCACTGTGGGATGGGATCAGGCACAGCAGAAAATTTATCTAGAACAGTCTGGTTGGCGTCTAGAAGTTGGACAAGGAGTCTATACATACAGCCACTGTCGTGTCGGGCTCCCCACCTGTGGGAGGAAGGAGGCCATGAAGGCTGGACCTGCCACCCCATCTCTTTGGGTGTCTGCCTACCTTGTCCTGCCTTGTCCGAATGCCCTTCCCATGTATGCAAATCCAGTTCCTCTAAAGGGACTCCTGGGAGGTGATCTCTGGACCCTTGGAATGTTGTGTCAGACAGGAGTGTCTTTAATGGTGACCCAGGTGATACTGGATAGTCTACCAATGTGATTTAGGGCAGGGGCCAGTCACACTCATAGAAATAGTCTCAATGGGGAGTCTCCAGAAAGACCCACCATGTGACTTTCTGTGGGGGCTGGGAGTCAGGGAACATCAATTGACCTGGAGACTGAGATTAACCATGTGGGCAATTGATCAATCCATCACGCCTATGTAATGAACCTAAGAAATACTCTGGACACCGAGGCTCAAGTGAACTCCCTTGGTCAACAAAATTCCATGCATCTTGTCACACATCAGTGCCAGCATGGTAACACGTCCTGACACCATGGAAGAAGGACAACAGAAGCTCTGTGTTTGATCTTTTCCCTGGATGCTGCTCTATGCCCTCCTTTCCTTGGCTGACTTTAATCTGTATCTTTTCCCTGTAATAAACCAGAAGTGTGTAGTAGCTTTTTGTGAGTTCTTCCAATGAATTATTGAATTGTGAAGGTGGTTTGGAAGTCCTCCAGACTTGCAATTGGTAGAGTTGTAGAGATGGGGTTTTGCCACGTCACCTAGTCTGGTCTTGAACTCCTAGACTCAGGCGATCCTCCTGCCTCTGCCTCCCCAAGTGCTGGGATTACAGGCATGAACCTCTATGCCCAATCAGATTTTGTTTTTAATTATTACTCATCAAACTACATATTTGTATTGTTGTGACATATTGTGTCAGAAGTGAGGATGGTCTTAGGGATTCCATCCCCAAACTTTGTAATGAGCTCTAAACTTCTCACAAATATTGATGCCTGTCTGGGAATGGTGGCTCATGCCTGTAATCCCAGCACTTTGGGAGGCCAATGCGGGTGGATCACTTGAGGTCAGGAGTTCGAGACCAGCCTGGCCAACGTGGTCAAAATACAAAATTTACTAAATATTCTACTAAAATACAAAATACAAAAATTACTAAAAATTCTACTAAAAATACAAAAATTAGCCAGGCATGGTGGCTGCCTGTAATCCCAGCTACTTGGGAGGCTGAGGCAGGAGAATCTCTTGAACCCAGGAGGTGGAGGTTGCAGTGAGCTGAGATCGTGCCATTGCACTCCAGCCTGGGCGACAGAGGGAGAACCTGTCTCAAAACTCAAAAAAAAAAAAACCCAAAAAAATATTGGTGCCTGGCTCTCACCCTCAGACACTCAGATTTAATTGGTATGACTGGTGCCTGGGCACTGTATGTTTTAAAAGTTACCTTTATGATGTGCAGCAAACTTTGGGAGCCACTGATTATCACAATCAAATAGTACCCCACTGATCAAAACAACACAAATACATCACATAGTTTGATGAATAGTAATAAAAAATAAAATCTGGCCAGGTGTGGGGGCTCACACTGGTAATCCCAGCACTTTGGGAGGCAGAGATGGGAGGATTGCTTGAATCCAGGAGTTCAAGGCCAGCCTGGGTGACATGGCAAAGCCCTGTCTCTACAAAAAATATGGCTAGGCGCGGTGGCTCACACCTGTAATCCCAGGACTTTGGGAGGCAGAGGCGGGCAGATCACCTGAGGTCAGGAGTTCGAGGCCAGCCTCGCCAACATGGTGAAACCCCGTCTCTACTAAAAATACAAACATTAGCTAGGTGTGGTGGTGCATCCCTGTAGTCCCAGCTACTTTGGAGGCTGAGGCAGGAGAATCACTTGAACCCAGAAGGTGGAGGTTGCAGTGAGCTGAGATGGTGCCATTGCATTCCAGCGTGGGCGACCACCGAAATTTTGTCTCAAAAAAACAAAAAATTCAAAAATTAGCCAGGCACGTAAAATTAGCCAGTGTGCACCTGTAGTCCCAGTTACTCAGGAGGCTGAGGTGGGAGGATTGCTTGAGGCTGGGTGGTGAAGACTGCAGTGAGCTGAGATCATGCCACTGCACTCCAGCCTGGGTGAAAGAGCAAGACTCTCTCTCCAAAAAAAATACAAAATAAAAATTAAAATCTTATTGGAGATGTATCTCTTAATGAGATGGAGTTGGGGAGTAGGGTTATGGTGCCTTGATTAAGAGTGAATTTGCTGGCCAGACAAGGTGGCTCAGGCCTGTGATCCTGGCACTTTAAGAGGCTGAGGCAGGCAGATCACCTGAGATTAGCAGCTCGAGACCAGCCTGGACAACATGGTGAAACCCTATCTCTACTAAAAATACAAAAATTAGCCAGGTGTGGTGGTGCACACCTGTAATCCCAGCTACTTGGGAGGCTGAGGCAGGAGAATCCCTTGAACCTGGGAGGCAGAGGTTGCAGTGAACTGAGATTGCACCATTGCACTCCAGCCTGGGCCACTGAGTAAGACTGTCTCAAAAAAAAAAAAGTAGATTTGCTAAGGCCCCGAATTTCCAATGGCCACTTTGCCTGGCTCCCTAGTAGTCCTTACATCTGGGGACGACACCTTAGTGAGGGGCTTTTTTCCTATAAAACTAGAGAAGGGGGACACTGAGAAACAGATTGGGGAAGGAGAACCATATGATGCTTCCCACACAGATGTAATCTATAGCAGATTAATTGTATAATAGGGGGTTTCTGGCTGTAGTGGACCTGAAATTTGACTCCCATAAAACCATCTGGGTCATATACCCCCTGGAAAGTCTTCATGCACCCCAGTTTCAAGACCATCAATACAGAGGACAAGCTCCGGAGTCAGATGAGTCTGGGCCTTATACCAGGTTCTGCTAAGCCCAGGCTGTGTGACCCAGGCAAGCCATCTCCTCTTTTTTTCTTTTCTTTTTTTTTTTAGGTGGCGTCTTACTCTGTTGTCCAGGCTGGAGTGCAGTGGCACCATCTCAGCTCACTGCAACCTCCACTTCCTGGGTTCAAGTGATTCTCTTGCCTCAGCCTCCCAAGTAGCTGGGATTACAGACGCATACCACCACTCCTGCCTAATTTTTTGTATTTTTAGTAGAGACGGGTTTTGCCATGTTGGCCAGGCTGGTCTCGAACTCCTGACCTCAAGAGATCCACCCACCTCGGCCTCCCAGAGTGCTGGGATTACAGGGGTGAGCCACCATGCCCAGCCTGTCCCAATCTCTCAGTTGGTGGCATGTGCCTGTAGTCCCAGCTACTCGGTAGGCTGAGGCAGGAGAATCACTTGAACCTGGCAGGCGGAGGTTGCAGTGAGCCGAACCTCTCCCCTTTCTCAACCTCTCAGTTTCCTGCGAAGCTCTGAATGATCTGAGGGCTTGAAATACACCTTCCCACAGGATCAAGGTTCAAAAAAGGTGCTCATATAAAGTACTTGCTATGTGCTTGCCATGTAATAATTGTCACTGCAAAAGCCCTATCTTGTAAACAGGGAAAACAGAGGCATGCTGTGACTTGCCCAAGGCTACAAAGCCGCAGGCTAGGGTTTGAATCTGGGAGGTCTGGCTCCAGAACCTAAGCTCTTGGCCAACTATGCTGTTTTCTCCTCCTAAGGCAAGGAGCATCTCATTCATTTACCGACAAGACTGAGCTGGGCCCAAGGCCTCTCATCTTCTGTTTTCCAATCCACATCCCTTTGGGCATGAGCAGAGAGGCTCAGGGCGTGTACTCTGCTAATCACTAGAACTGTGAGTATGTTTGTCACTTCACCTCCCTGAACTTCAGTTTCTTTTCTTTTTATTCTTTTTTTCCAGGACTGAGTCTCACTCTGTTGTCCAAGCTGGAGGGCAGTGGTACAACCTCCACCTCCTGGGTTCAAGCGATTCTCCTCCCTCAGCCTCCCAAGTATGTGGGACTACAGGTGCATACTACCAGGTCTGGTTAATTTTTGTGTATTTTTAGTAGAGACGAGGTTTTGCCATGCTGGGTGGGCTGGTCTCAAACTCCTGACCTCAAGTGATCTGTCTGCCTCGACCCCACAAAGTGCTGGGATTATAGGTCTGAGCTACCCTGGCCGGCCGGAACTTCAGATTTTTTATCTGTAAGGATGGGTTAGGAGGCCTAAATTAAGTCACCCATAAAAAGGTCATGTCACATGTGGTCAGTGCTTAGCAAGGGGCTATTTTAATCGTCACACTCACCAGTCAGAGACACAAATCTCAATCCTGCCACTATCCAGCAGTTCTGGCCACAGACCCTCCTCCTCTAGGTCCAAGACCTGCTTCTTGCGACACCAGCTGGGAAATGCAGGAGACAGGGTAATGAGAACAGGCAGGCCTTTCTCAACAAGGCGCTGGACCTTAGGATAGCAGGGGCATTCACCTGAATGAGGTCACGAAGCACGTCTGAGAAGGGGCCCCGGGCACGGTTGTCCTGTTTTCCTCCACCACCCAGCCGTCCCCACCGTGCTGCACCATCCACTTTCGGAGGCCTTCTGTGAAATAAAAAAGGCTTGTGCCCAAGTTCCAGTCGCCCGCCTGTTGGTTCCTAGTGAGACTTCTGGCCCTTCCCACCGAGGCCCCGCCCCCTGCCCCCTCCCACCAGCTCACCCAAAGCCCCGCTCCTCTGACCCTTCTCACCGATTTGCAGCAAAGCCCTGCCCCTCCAGCTCCTCTCTCTGGCTCCCAGAACTGCCCCATTCCTACCCCTCCCACAGGCAACCAGTGAAGCTCTGTCCAGCCAGCCCCGCACCCGGCGTGCCGATGCTGCCCCACCCCTCCGACACCTCCCACCGGCTCCCGATGCTGCCCCGCCCCTCCGACTCCTCCCACCGGTCCTGCTGCGGCCCTGCCCTTCCGGTCCTTCCCACGGGTTCCACTGCGGCCCCGCCCCTCCGGCCCCTCCGCCGCTCCCACTGTGGCCCAGCATCCTGGACTTCCTCTTTCGAGATCCCACCTTGGCCGCAGGGATTGCGAATAAGGTTGCGTCCGATGGGTCTGCGCGCGCAGAAGCGGCCAAGGGGGCAAGGCCTGGCGTTACGGGCGGGAGACTGGCAGCTGCGGGCTAGGTGCAGTAGCGCGCGGCCGGTGGCGCTGTGATCGCGGGCCAGGATCAGCAGCCACAGGGCCTGGCCGTCCACCAGGGCTCGCCAGCCCCGGCACACTTGGCGGCACCGCCCGAGAAGCGTGCGCGGGGGGACGTGGCTCAGCACCACCAGAAGCAGCTCCGGGGGCAGTTGGCTCAGGTCCAGCGCCTCTTCGGGTTCCGGCTCCGGCTCCGGCGCGGGGACCCGGGCGGCCCGGCCCCTGGAGGCCCAGGCGCCCATGGTCCCCCCGCCAGGCCCGGCTGTGGCTGCGGGAGAGGAAGGGTCAAGGCGTCAGGGACCAGCAGCCTCCGCGGCGCGCAGCCTCTGCCTGCCCTGACTCAGCCAGCCGCACCCCTACCTTCACCATCCCAGAGCCCCGTCCCCGAATCCCCCTCCCCCAGCCCGTCCTTGATAGCCCCGATATCTCGGAGACCCCGCGGTCTGTGTGTATGCCCCGAATTGCGTGCAATCAGCCCCCCTCGGCGGCCCCACCGACACCCCACCCCAAATCCTACCCCAGGGCCTGGCGGCGCTCCTACCCGGGATACCCTAGCTATGTTGCAAGCTCCCCACGCCCCTCTGCGTCCTTTTAACTCGCCGGCCCCTCCCCTCTTACTAGCCAGCGTCACCCACCCCTGCATCCTCTTTCTTACTCCCCAGCCCCTCCCACCTACTCCCTTCCCCTCTCCAGACCCAACCTGCTTCCTGCGAGGGGGCCAGGTGGGGATCCAGGGTCTGCCGCTCACTGCCTTCCCCTCCAGCCGGCCCCTTGAAATGTCCCTAATTCGTTAGTGGCAATGAGACGTCTGGCTCCGAGCAACCGTTGTTATTTTGGTCAGGCTTCTGAGTGGGAGGCCTCATATCCGTTAACGTGTTAAAAAATTTCCATCACCTTTAAGGTCGGGCATGGTTATCTTCACTTCACAGGAGAAAACAGGCTCCAGCTGCTAAAAATGGATGCTGCAACCAGTAGTAACACCAGCCAACTTTTATGGACGGTTTTGCTGACAGCCAAGGTGGCAACCCCATGAAGTAGGTGCTGTTACGCCCTTTACTTCACAGGTGAAAAAACTGAGAGCAGCAGAGAGGCCAGGTGACTTGCCTATGATCACCAGCTAGTAGGGACTTGAATCCAGCCAGCTTAGCTCCGGAACACCTCATTTTAACCTCTAGATCAGCTCTGTCCAATAAAAATACAATTGTGGCTGGGTGCGGTGACTCATGCCTGTAATCCCAGCACTTTGGGAGGCCAAGGCGGGCAGATCGCTTGAGGTCAGAAATTCAAGACCAGCCTGGCCAACATGGTGAAACCCTATCTTTACTAAAAATACAAAAATTAACTGGGCGTGGTGGCTCGCACCTGTAATCCCAGCTCATTTGGAGGCTCAGGTAGGAGAATCACTTGAACGCAGGAGGTTGCAGTGAGCAGAGATTGCACCACTGCACTCCAGCCTGTGCAAGAGAGTGAGTGAGACTCTGTCTCAAAAAACAAACAGGAAAAAAACAATTGTAAGAGTTGATCATATGAATTGGATCCTTGTTGTCATATCCAACTAAAACAAAGTTGAGAGACCAGGGGGAAAAAAACACTTAGGGCAGATACCATTGCCCCAAGAATGTGATTCTCTGCAAGCCTGGCTGTTAAAATTGCCTGTTGTAACCTGGAAGCAGTCTAACTGGTACTGAAACAGCCTGCTGCGACTCTAAGACTGGTTTTTCCCTCTGCTGTCACTTACCAATCAGAATTTGCCAGCTCCCCACAACGTTGCTAGTGTCAATGAACTTTCTTGCAAAACAGTACCTAACATTTCTGTTTCTTATGAAAACCTCTAACCTCTTTGTTCTTTGAAAGTACTGAAGACCACCTGGTCTGTGTGGATGCCTCGAATTTCAATTCTTGCTTTCCAAATAAAACGTTTTATTATGTTTTTGAGATAGAGTCTCGCTCTGCCGCCCAGGCTGGAGGGCGGTGGGGCAATCTCGTCTCACTGCAACCTCTTCCTTCTGGGTTTAAGTGATTCTCCTGCCTCAACCTCCCGAGTAACTGGGATTACAGGCGCGCGCCACCATGCCCAGCTAATTTTTGTATTTTTAGTAGAAATAGGGTTTCACCATGTTGGCCAGGATGGTCTCAAACTGCCGACCTCAGGTCGTCTGCCCGTCTCGGCCTCCCAAAGTGCTGGGGTCACAGGCATAAGCCACGGCGATAAAACATTTTAAATTTAGAGATTTGTCTCTATATCTCTGTATTTTATTTGGCTTTGACATACTGTGAGCTGTATACATAATTTAAGACCTCAACAAACAAAACCAGACATGGATTCTTCCCCACAAAAAATTTACCTTCTAGAGGGACAGACATGATAAACTGTTGGCATAATGAGCAAATTACATAGTATCAGGGAAATAATTAAACATAAAACCTCCAGGACAGGCAGGATGGCTCACGCCTGTAATCCCAGCACTTTGGGAGGCTGAGGCAGGCACATCACTTGAGGTCAGGAGTTCGAGACCAGCCTGGCCAAAATGGTGAAACCCCATCTCTACTAAAAGTACAAAAATTAGCCGGGTGTGGTGGCACATGCCTGTGATCCCAGCTACTTGGGAAGCTGAGGCATGAGAATCACTTCAACAAGGGAGGCAGAAGTTGCAGTGAGCCGAGACCTCGCCACTGCACTCCAGTCTAGGTGACAGAGTGAGATGCTGTCTTAAATAAATAAATAAATAAATAAATAGAATAAAACCTCCTTTTGACCCTCTTAGAATCCTCTCCACAAATGCAGAAAAGAAATAAATGGGGCCCGGCATGGGGGCTCACGCCTGTAATCCCGGCACTTTGGGAGGCCGAGGCAGGAGGATCTCTTGAGCCTAGGAGTTTGAGACCAGCCCTGGCGGCACAGTGAGACCCCGTCTTTACAAAAAAGTTTAAAAAGTAGCTGCAAATAGTGGTGTGCACCTGTAGTCTCAGTTACTTGGGAGACTGAGGTGAGAGGATGGCTTGAGCCCGGGAGGTTGAGGCTGCAGTGAGCTGTGACTCTGCCACTGCACTTCAGCCTGGGCTACACATCGAGACCCTGTCTCAAAAAAAAAAAAAAAAAAGAATGAAACAGTTGTATTAGTGCATACACTTTAAACGAGCCTGTAATGTGCATCTGCCATGATGAACAGTAAACATAATAAGTATGTGTGTGTGTTAAACAGTGATTAGTGCTATGAAAAATTAGAGCAGACAAGGGAAAATGGGGCATAATGAGGTTGGGTTGAGTGGATAGGAGAGGCAGACCCTGAATTAGGAGAGATGGATGAACTATCGTGCTGGTTTAATTTCTTCTCAATACATATATTTTCATTTTAAAAATTTCGTTTCAACCGGGCACGGTGGCTCATGCCTGTAATCCCAACACTTTGAGAGGCCGAGGCAGGTGGATCACCTGAGGTCAAGAGTTTGAGACCAGCCTCATCAACATGGTAAAACCCCGTCTCTACTAAAAATACAAAAACCTGGGCGCGACGGCTCCCGCCTGTAATCCCAGGACTTTGGGAGGCTGAGGTGGGCAGATCACGAGGTCAGGATTTCGAGACCAGCCTGGCCAATATGGTGAAACCCCATCTCTACTAAAAATAATAATAATACAAAAATTAGTTGGGTGTGGTGGTGTGTGCCTGTAGTCCTAGCTACTCAGGAGGCTGAGGCAGAAGAATTGCTTGAACCCAGGAGGAAGAGGTTGCAGTGAGCTGAGGTCGCGCCATTGCACTCCAGCCTGGGCAACAAGAGTGAAAATTTGTCTAAAAAAAAATCTTTTATATATATTTTTTGAGACCAGGTCTCACTCTGTCATAGCTCACTTTAGCCTCAAACTCCTGGAGTCCAGCAATCCTCCTGCCTTAGCCTCCTGAGCAGCTGGGACTAAAGGAGAGGCAAGGTCTTGCTGTTGCCCAGGCTGGTCTTGAACTCCTGAGCTCAAGTGGTCCTCTCGCCTCTACCTCCCAAAGTGCTGGGACTATAGGCATGAGCCACTGTGCCCACTAAAACTAACATATTAGTTTTAATGTAATGTGTAAGCAGTGGGAATCTTGTTGATAATGAGATAGGATGACCCAAGTATTTGATTTTTTTTTTAAACTTTTTTCACTTTGTCACCCAGGCTGGAGTGCAATGGCTTGATCTCGAACTCCTGACCTCAGGTGATCCTCCTGCCTTGGCCTCCCAAAGTGCTGGGATTACAGGCATGAACCACTGCACCTGGCCTGATTTTTTTTTTAACAGTTAAAATGTTTAAAAAGTTTGAGTACGTTGGCCAGGCACTGTGGCTCATGCCTGTAATCTCAGCGCTTCAGGAGGCCGAGGCGGGCAGATCACTTGAGGTCAGGAGTTCGAGACCAGCCTAGCCAACATGGTGAAACCCTCATCTCTACTTAAAATAAAAAATTAGCTGGGTGTGGTGGCATGCACCTATAGTCCCAGCTACTCAGGAGGCTGAGGCAGGAGAATTGCTAGAACCTGGGAGGCAGAGGTTGGAGTAAGCTGAAATTGCGCCACTGTACTCTAGCCTGGGCAACAGAGCAAGATTCCATTTCAAAAAAAAAAAAAAAATCCAAGTAGGTCAAAAGGGCAGATACTGAAAAGTCAGTGTCTTTTTCCAGTCCCCAATTCTCCTCCCAAGGGCAAGACTTTTGGACTCCACCCCAAAGACACCACACCCAGACAGACTTTCACCGATCCCTCTAAGGACTGCTACCTGAGAGACTTTATCTGCAAATAAGATGACCTTTGTTCTCAGTGCAGTTCTGCCCCTCACCCTGCCTTAGCTTGTCACTGCCATGGTCCAGAAGCCTCCTAGCCCCTATCTATTTCTGTATCTCAAAATGCTATTTAAGCTTCAACCATCTGGCCTGTCTTTGAATCTCATACTTTGTGGGGTTTCTCTGTGTGTGCGCATAATGGATTTGTGTGCCTTTTCTCTGGTTAATTTGTCTACTGTCAAGTTTATTTCAGAGACTCAAATGATCAAGCCTTCAGAGATGGTGGATGGAAAGTTTCACCTGTCCCTTCACTTGTTGAAAATTTTAAAAAGTTCTTTTGAGATGAGGTTTCACTCTGTCACCCAGTTTGGAGTGCAGTGGTGTGATCCTGGCTCACTGCAGACTTGACCTCCCAGGCTGAAGCCATCCTCCCACCTCAGCCTCTCAAAGTGCTGGGATTGCAGGCATGAGTCAGGTCACTGCAGCCTTGACCTTCCAGCCTCGACCTTCCAGCCTCAAGTGATCCTCCCATCTCAGCCTCTCGAACAGCTGGGATTATAGGTACAGCTATAGTCCCACCATGTCTGGGTAATTTTAAAATTTTTTTGCAGAGATGGGGTCTTGCTGCAATGTCCAGTCTCATCTCAAACTCTTAGCCTCAAGCGATCCTCCTGCCTTGGTCTCCCAAAGTGCTGGGATTACAGGTGTGAACCATCACACTGGCCTTGTCCCTATACTTTATAGAAAGAAAAGGGCTGGGAGAGCAGAAACAGAGAACAAAAAAACAGATTGGTACTTTCAAAATTACCTTCCTTGTAATGGATAAAGCAGAGTTGTTCTTCAGTTCAGCAAACCAGAAAATCTCTTAATTTAGGAGGGCCAGCTGTGGGTTTTATGGAGCTGTTGCTTCAGAGACTCCACACAGTGGGGGAAATGTTCTAGAGCTATACCAAACCCCCTGGGGATTCCAAATCATCAGGTCCACATTTGTGACAAATTCCCAGAAGATGCCAGAGCTGATGCTTCCAGGACAAAGAACTGAGTAGCTGAATCTTACAGGAATCAAGCCAGGCATCCCTTGCATGTTGATACACGTATTCTTTTTTTTTTTTTTTTTTTTTTTTTTTTTTTGAGATGGAGTCTCGTTCTGTTGCCCAGGCTGGAGTGCAGTGGCGCGATCTTGGCTCACTACAACCTCCGCCTCCTGGGTTCAAGCGATTCTCCTGCCTCAGCCTCCCAAGTAGCTGGGACTACAGGCGTGCGCCACCACGCCCAGCTAATTTTTGTATTTTTAGTAGAGACGGGGTTTCACCATGTTGGCCAGGCTGGTCTCAAACTCCAGACCTCAGGTGATCCACCCACCTTGGCCTCCCAAAGTGCTGGGATTACAGGCGTGAGCCAGCGCACTCAGCTGGAAGCAGCTTTCTATGAGACAGGTCCACCAGTATGCCATGTCAGTTTACCATTGCCATGGCAACACCGTAGCGTTACTGCCCCTTTCTGTAGCAATGACCCAATGATGACTCCCCCTTCCCTAGAAATTTCTGCATGAACCGCCCCTT